GGGTACCTGGGTGGCTCACTTGGTTAAGTGTCCAACTCTTGATTTCAGCTCAAGTTGTGATCTCAAAGTTCGTGAGTTCAAGCCTCCGTGTCAGGTTCTGCACTAACAGCTTGAAACCTGCTTGGGATTCTCTGTCTCCCTCTCTTTGGCCCCTCCCCCAGTTGCACTCTCTTTCTCTCTCTCTCAAAAATAAATAAATGAACATTTAAAAAATGGATTACGAATCTACCCAAGGACCATGAAAGAGAAGCATTTTCAGTTAGAAAACAACAGAAATATTTTGCTGTAGAATATACTCTTTACCTGGTGCTGGTGAGGGGAAGTGTGCTTGGGATCTCCGTTAGCTTATCTCTGCATGCTGGCCATCTCAGGATGACAGTTATCAAGCCAACGTTGTTTGATGTCATTTCTTTTCTTTCTTTCTTTCTTTCTTTCTTTCTTTCTTTCTTTCTTCCTTCCTTCCTTCCTTCCTTCCTTCCTTCCTTCCTTTCTTTCTTTCTTTCTTTCTTTCTTTCTTTCTTTCTTTCTTAATGGTGTACTCATTTTCTAGGGCTGCTGTAACAAAGTCCCAAAACTGGGTGACTTCCAATAACATGAATTTATTTTCTCAGAGTTCCTGAAGTCTAGAAGTCTGAAAGCATGGTGTCAGCAGATCCATACCTCTCTGAGGCTTTAGAAGAGAGTCATTCCTTGCCTCTTCATAGCTCCTGGCAGTTCTCAGCAATCCTTAGCATTCAGTGGCTTGGAGATACATCACTCCACATTCTGGCTCTACCCAACCTGGAGCCATCCTCTTCCTGTTTGTCTCTCTGTCTTCACGTGGCCTTGTCTTTTCTTATAAGCACACAAGTCACATTAGATTCAGAGCCCATCCTACTCAAATACAACTGCATCTTAACTAAGTACACCTGCAAAGATGTATTTCCAAATATAAGGTCACATTCTGAGGCATTAGGGTTAGGACTTCAGTATACCTTTTTTGAGGTACCTGATTCAACCCATCTTACTTGGGATAAATGGAACTTAATGTCTCCCAGTTGCCCTTAGATACCCTGGGGTGGAGGGCAGAAGGAAGTACTTTATCCTTAAGGTGGAGGGTACAGTGTTGAGGTGGCATCCGTGTGTTGGAGAGAACACATGTCCTCACCTCTCTGGTGCTCAAATCACCCTTTGCTCTTTGAGCTCCATCCACCATGTTAGTCTGCCACCTGGCACATGCCATAGCCAGTGTTCTGACAAAGTTTCTGTCTGTGTTTGTAGAGTGAGCAATCAGAGCTACATCTGTGCCATAAAAACACTTGCAGATCTGCCAGGAACATGAATGACAGGCATTTTCCACAAAAGTTTCTCTTAGTCAAGCCAGGAACTGTTTCTAAAAGCACCACAGAGGCACTGAATTCCCAGTTATAAATCTCTTTGTAGGCAGCCAGATTCGCCATTAAGTGCCAACTTCCTCTGAGTTTCCTCTGCCTGTCCCTCACAGGGTTAGTGCACAAGAGCATTTGGCTTGAGGCTGGCTTCAAGGGAGAAGCAAGCACTGTGCTTCTGCCTGGGGTTTGTACCATAAGGTCATCCTTGGAACACTGGTGGGTTTGGGAGAAAGTGGAGGGACTCAGGAGGGCTCAGGTTTGTCCTTGACTCCTTAATGAGGAGCAAGTG